TAGATAATTTCAGGAACTGTACTATAGAACAGTCATTGGTATTATTACTATGTTGAAACCAGCAGAAAAAAATTAAACTCTAGATTATGAAACCATGAGGTTTTGGGTGGTATAAGAAAAAACAGAAGTAAATTATTATAGAAGACCTTAAACCTGCATGACTATATACTATATTAGTACTTATTTGTAAATGCTAAAACTATTATGTATCATCTGTCCTTCAACCAACAGAAAGTATGAAGGGAGCATAAAAACCCCAACACATTGTGTTCTTTATATGGACTGAGAAAAATCTGTTTGTATCCTCACAACTGATCCAGATAAGGTGATCACTCAATCTGTACCTTAAATGGTTTTTTTATATACTGGTTTGTTTCACCTTTCAGTTCAAAACTGTGTTTCAAGACACCTCTGCTGGAGGCTGCCTCAGGGCTGGTAACCTGGTCTTCTGGGGACAGATCTGCTGGGGAATAGTAGATCACTCTGGTTTATTTTGTGTAGTGTAGGTGTAAGATTTAAACTATGTAAAGAATCCATCTGACCTGCTTACAGCTTTCCTTTGGTTCTGGAAGTGGGAACAAGCAGAGAAATGCTCTCCTAGTGCTTTGCCATGCTACCTCTGCTGGCTTTCCAGAGCTGTGAAAGAAGGATGCTTGTGGATGATAAGCATGTTTAGTACCTGGGCGGTAGTTCAGGACAAGGCTTCTGAAGCAGGAAAACTGCTAGAGAAGCTGAAAAACTGGATGAGGCACTGAGTAGTGCTGGAAACTTACTTGAGAATGGAAGACAGCTAAGGAGAAACACAAGAACTGAGGCCAGTGTTGCAGAATTAGATGGAAATAGACGAAATAACTGGAAGAAGAATAGCAGATGAGTGGTTCAAGAGGGGGACACTAAGACTGGCTAAACAAACAGTTTAAGATGGGAACTGGATAGAAAAAAACATAGTAAGGGAAAAATTTAAATGACTAAATACAGAAGATGGTCTGGAAGAACGAATAGATGAAGTCCGCCTGAACTAAGATTTCAGTTTTGTTCTGGGGGTGGTGGAAGTATTTCTGAACCCATTGGTAAAGTATCAGTTCTCACTTTTGCAGGTTCACATGAATGATGACTTCTGCTTTTCATCAGTCTGTTCAAGTAGTGTGGTTTGCAGGAAAGCTTGGGATTCTTCATGTTGTAAGCATGTAGGTGTGGTATTTTGTCTTTTTAAGCTAGAAAATTGCCCTAAACATCTTGCAATTCTGTCATTTCAGTAGTGTTCTTTCAATGGTAAAGGCTTAAATACAGTATTTCTTTTCTGTTGCTACCCAGCCCCCTGTTGTCAGTTTTGTTTTCTTGGCCATTCTGTCCTCCCTACCCCCACCTTCTTCATACATTTTCTAAGCTGTTTCTAAATGTGCTCTAAACCACACAGCGTTATTGTCAATCTCTGTTTGTACTCCATCCAGTTTGTATCCATATTGTGGATACCATGCTTTAGAGGAAATTACATGTTACTCCAACTAAGGTCTTTGTGGCTCTGTGTAAAATAGCAGAAATTATTTCTGTCTTACAACACTCTCAATAAAAGATCATAAAAGAACAACTGATTGAAGGAACTATCTGGTTAAAATAGATCACCAGAATAAAAGCAGTTAGCTGTATCTATCTTGTTTTTGAACTAGGTAGTTTTAAGACCAAGTCCTGTGAGTGTGTGTTTGAAGCAATAGGGAGGCACAGCTAACACATGTGGCAGGGCCGCAGCTGTGTGGATTGGAATCACCTTTGGATGTTCTGGAACTGACCTTTCTTGACCTTTCAAGAGGAAAGGGTGTAATGCAGGCTGATTGTTGTATTTTTAAAAGTACTCATAAATTATTGTAATCTTTCTAGTTAAAAAAGCTGACATATTTACATCTGCTGCAATTCAGTGTTTTCCCTCCATTTTCAAGCTAGATAATATTGTTCATCCTGTTGCTATCTTCTGGAACTGCTTGCTCCTCCCCTCCCAGGTCTCCCTCCATAAGCTTTCCAAGCTTTCAGCTTGTGGCTGAGAGTTCACTCTGAAGCAGTAGCAGGTTTTCCATTTAATTTTTCTTAGCTTAACTCTTGATTGTTCACAGTAAAACATTTGCATAGTTACATAAAAGTTGAAAGACAGTTTGAAATTTTTAATCAGTTGCGGAGCTAGCTGTCCTGGAAACAAAAATCCTCTGTTTAAACATAGATCACATGCAAATTTATTTATCTGTTTAACACTGACCCCTTGTTGACCTTAACCCAAGGGTATAAGCCATTTCAAGCCCCCGGTTACAGAAAATTCACTTCTCTTAGGTGTGTCTATCTTAGAGACTTCTAGCAGTGAAATAATGATGCATATGATGAGCTTTCAGTCACCAGCATTTAAGGAAGTTTTATTTTGAAGAAGATGTGATCTGATTCAAGTTGTTGTGCTGATGCAATTATTGGCAGGCTTGTTCTGTGAGTCAAGACAACTCCCTGATTTCACTTGTGGTATACTCGCACAAACAGTTCTTTGGGTGTAATTCCAACAAAAATGGGCTTCAGTATAGAGATGCAAAGAAGCAGGGGCAAAGCAATTTGTACCATACTGAACAATTTGTATAGTGAAATTGCAGTCTAAGCAAATCCAAATTTTCAAAAGCAGAAAAAGTTAGAATATGACACTGAGTTTTTGATTATAACTACTTACTTATCAGTGAAGTTCCTATGGCTATGTGACCAGATCATCTTGTGATATTTCAGCTGAAATACAGAAAATTATATCTTAGTGATTTCTATTTTCTTTAATATACTTCCTTAAATCTCCAGATGCTGGGATGTAACTATAGTATTTACTCAAAGGCAGAACTGGTCTTGAAACAAGGAAAGAAGTTTTGAGATGATAAAGTGGACAAGTGTGTGTGTGGACAAGTATGATCCTATAGAAAGAAAACATGCACTTTCAGTTCAAGCCTCTTGTGTTAGACTTGTATACAAGCATGTTACAACTCATTTACTTCAGTGAGGTGTCTAAAGTTTGAGCTTGTTCCCAAATAAACTAGTGTTGCTCCTGATTTTTTTTTTTTTTTACTGAAGCTTTGAATTCTTGTGCTAAGCAAGGTGAAAAATGTGCAGATTTGAATAAGCTTCAGTAGATCATGTAAAGACAACATCAAAACATTCTTGTTGTACTGTAGGAAGAGACAAATAGGAGACTGTGGTTAGAGCAGTGGACTGTGACTTTGGAGATGTAGATTTAAGTACAAGTCATTACCTGTGAGGCCTTGAGTGGGTTGATCTGCTTCTACTTGTGCTCAGAAGTGTTCACCCATTTTGTGTCTAGATTTATATTCTTCAGAATTTTGGATATGTTTGTTAGCATCTTGAAACTACAGACATTGTTTTGATGTGGAATGTCATGGTGCTACATATTTTGAAGGGACATAAAGCATCATGAGAAATATTTATGCTAGAACTATTTAAAAGCCATACCAGCATGCTCCTGCATTTTGAATAGCTTGTTGGGTTAACTTCTTACATTATTAAGTTTGGGCTTTGGGGGGCAGGTGGGAATTAAGATTTCCTTAGACTGTGGCCTTTGACTTTGGCAGCATTGTATTTTAGGGTTGTTTGGGCATAAGGGGTGTCTACTCACTTCTCTTAAAATATAGTGAAGAGACTCTCAGTCTTTCTCATAGAATGAGACACATGGAATTTGTGACTGCTTTTTTACATTTGAAAATGTTAAAACACCTGTGCACCTTTGTCTTGATTCACAATTACCTGTTTATTTTTTAAAATTGCTATGCTATAAATGGAATGGTGATAGAATATAGAATTAAGGGATGAGCCATATAGCATCATCTTTCCTAGCAGTTTTTGTGTTGTTTTTTGCATTCCTGCTTATCTTTGAGACTTGATGTTCCTTACAGAACTCTGTAGGGTCAAGATATATTTCCTCTTTAGTCTTTGGATGTACTGAGTACCTGTGTGAAAGTACATCCTCAATCATGAGATGAGTTACAGTAGAAGAGTTGAAACTCTAGGCTGTGTAAGACTCCTGTAGCTGGGGATTATACTACTTTTGTTAAGGTTTGAAGTAGTCAGTCCTTGTAATAAGTGTTAAACCAAACTACCAATCAACTGATTAGAACTGCTTCTTTGACCTTACTTCCCTTAAAAATAGATAAATTACATATTCAGAGATGAACAGAGAAGTTAATCTTTGAAGATCTTTCTATATCTGTGGAAGATTATTTTCCTTAATAACATTATTTTCTTGTAAAATATAAAATACTTAAAAGCTGAAGCCATATATTCAGTTTACTGTGATTTAAGATAACTACTGTCAAATTGTAGTAATTTGGAATTATTTTAGTGCTTTTTCTCTCATGCAGATGGAGCCATCTGAAATTAGTGTGAGATGGGTTAACTTGGTATGTATGTATGTGACAGCAAAACTGCTCATCATTACTACTTTTCTTGGAACCTTTTCCAAACATATGGAATGGTTTCTCTGTGAGGAACAGCTAAGTTAGGACCTGTCAGTCGGGGAGATGACATGACAGGGAGGTATGTGATGGAGGCTTACAAAATCATGGCAGATGTGGGAGAGGGGACAGAAACTGGTAACTCATCTCTTCCAATACATGAACTAGGAAATCTCAAACAAAGCTAATATGAACCAGATTTAAGCAAAATAAAGTCTAGTACCTAACCTCAATATAGTCAATAGCAGTCCTGTGGAATTAATTGCTAAAGGTGTTGTGGATGCTAAAAGTTTACGTGGATTTTAAGGGAGTCTGGGTAAGTTCCTGAAAGAGAAATGGTTTGAGATTTATTAAATATAGAAAGTCACATCTGGCTTACCACCTTCTTCTAGAGGAAAATGAGATCACGTTTGGGATGTATAGTATATGTTCTTACTCTTCAGTGGCATCTATTTGTAGCTATTGCTGAAGATCAGGATACTACTAGAAGTGGATCTTGTACTGACCCAATATAGGTGCTGTCATGCATTTTCCTTACATCCTGTTGTTAAAGCTGATCATGACTTTCTAATTCTTTTCTAATCCTGATGTGAGTATGAAAATCAAACCATTAGCACACCAGACTCAGCAGAGGGGGGGAAAAAACAATCAAAATGTGCCTCCTCCCTTACAAGGCACTTACCTCTCCCTCAGTTCTTAATTTATAAATACTGTTTTCCTCTGTCCCTAGTGGAAAATGTAATTGTGAGGCCACAGAAACAACAGGCAAGTCTTGCATACCGTTATGGGAAAGACCACTGAGGGTGAGGTTAGTACAGAAGAATTTTACTTGCGTAACTAAATGGTGTCATTTCAAGGAAGGAGTGGAAGACTTCACATATGGAACCTGTCCCCGATACCCACCTTGTTCATTGTATATCTATCTTGTGTACTTATACATTAACACAGATTATTTTTTGACCAGATTCCTGGTCTGTTGCGCTTGGTTTACCAGGAGTGGAACACAAGTAACTGGTCTTAGAGAAAAATGCAAGTAGTTGAGCTCTGGCAGTTTATGGTTTTGGTCAGATTGGTTCTTGCAGCCTAGCTTGCCCTATGAGGATCTGTCACCTTCTTTTTATTTATATCTTAATTTTCCTTCTACTCATATAAATCAAAGTGACCTCCCCTGTCAGTTTTGCTCACTGAAGGAAGTGAATGTTCATGTAATGTAGTCTGTCTGTTTTATCACTGTGGAAGACAAATCCTTAAAGGTGAAATAGTAAATCAGGTTTGTTTCTATCATTCTGACTACTGCTGAATGAATTACAAATAATATTTTCTCTTTGTGTCCTCTAGGTACGTTTCTCATATATGCGGATGAAGTATCTCTTCATCTCTTGGTTAGTAGTATTTATCGGCAGCTGGGTTATGTATGTTCAGTATTCCACCTACACAGAGCTATGCAGAGGACATGACTGTAGGAAAATAATAGTAAGTATATTTAGCTTAGCCTTCTTAAGTGTTTTTCTTAAGTGACTAATTCCACAGCCAGTTCAGTTAGTGCCACATGTAAATTATTCAAAATCTGATATTCCATCATGTTGAAGTAAGATTACATCTTCAATTACAGATAAAACCAGTTATGTTTCTTAACACTGTTTTGGTATAGGGCTATTAAAATTGTTTTCTTAGATTTTTCTTTCAAGAGTCAGGTGTTAAGAGAGATACAGTTGTTGTCTCTGTTCTCAGGCAGTTTGTTATTTTTTTTTTCTCCCTGTTTGTTTCAGTGTGATAGATACAAGACTGGAGTTATTGATGGGTCAGCATGTAGCAGTCTTTGTGCTAAAGAAACACTGTATTTTGGAAAATGTTTGTCCACAAAGCCCAATAACCAGGTAAGGCTTTACTCATCTAACCTAGTTTTGTAATTTCCTACTGAAATTATAATTGTCTGGAACATGAATTAGACCTTGGTGTCAGCAAACTGTACCTGTTCAGTACGTATTATCTCAAACCTGATTTGCTGTGACATGCAGAGCATGTTTTTTATATATATATAAATAAAATATATACCTATATAGGTATAATATATATTATTGATAACAGATTATATATAGTATGCACCTGTATAGAATATACCTGCACAGGACTATATTATTATTGTGTAATACACATACATATATTTTAGAAACATATATACATATAAAAAATATACTGTATCTTTCCAAGTTTTGACAGAATAACTGTATCTTTTTATAGCATACTACTCTGCTATCCTGCTTCCCAAATATAAGCTGCAGCCTCTTAACCTATGCAGCAGTGATAGTAATGCCAATATACTGTTTGTCAAGCTGTGTTTGTATTTTGACAGTGTAGTGTCTCCAAAGTACCTGCAATAGTGTATTGTATTTAAGGTGATTGTTTGAATGTGCTGCATGCATTGTCTGTACACAGGACTTGGTTTTCTACCCTGCATTGCTACTTGAAGCAGTGGCTGGACTGGGCCAGACTATGGGTGGTCTTTAGATGATGGACTTACACAGTATTTTTTACCTTTTTTCCCTCTTTTCCTGCACAGATGTATTTAGGAATCTGGGGAAATCTTCAGGGTGTTATAAAATGCCAAATGGAAGAAGCTGCTCAACTTGATCTTGGTGCTGACCCAGAACCAAGGAAGGAAATTGTCCTATTTGATAAACCAATAAGAGGAACCACTGTTGAGAAATTCAAAGAAATGGTATATGGTCTTTTTAAAGTAAGTATATGCTTATTTAATCTATCTTGACAGGCTTATTTTCCCGCAGCTGGGCAGTATGCCCTATTGTATAAGCCTTGTTCAGTTGCATGTTAGAAGAATAATCAGCACTAAAATAGTTTTTCCCAGAGGTGCTTATCTCAAAGTTTGAAGTAACAGATTATCAGGTATTTTGCTTACTTGTTAACAGATGAAAGCTGGTATGCATCTTGCATGTCTACAGCTTTCACTTCTGTTTGTACAGAAAATATGGTATATTTTTTTTTGTGCTGCTTTTGGAGTTATTGTAACCAAGTACAAAGACTGAAGCACAATTTGAAAACTGTTCATACTTGGGAAGAGCTGTTATGTTAACTGAGCAGCAGGAATCTCTCTCACCAGAAGGACCAGCCATACTTCTCCCAGTTCTTTGTTTTGTTAAATTAATATGATGCTTATTTCTATTGTCTTAATGCTACCCCAGAATTTTCATAATACAGTCACTTTGGTGCTGTATCAATACTGATTTGGGGTTTTCTTTCTTAAAGTTCTTTTGCTATTATCATAGGAGCTATGTCTCCAGTGATGGAAGTAATGCTGTTCCAGCTGAGTGAGCATGTGTACACATGTACACACACAACATAATTATGTAAAGCTGATAACGGTTGTTATGCATTACAGTAGCTTTGTCTCTAAGAATGAGTGAGCAGCAGGTATTTCCGAGTAGTTTTTAAGATAATTTGGAAAAAAGCTTGTCTGTGCATTGGTGGTAGTTGAAAAGGCAACAGTTGTGATTCCAGCAATGGCAGCTTTCTCTGTATTGATACAATGGTGGTGGTTACAGCAAATAACAAAATTAAGTATCTTGGTACACTTACCGTGTGGGATTTGTACCCAGTGTGTCTTGGTACTTTTTATAGTTGGTCAAAATGTAGTTGATAGTGTAATTTCTGTATACCTGTAAGGTTTAATAATCTGAAAATTAAACCTTTTCTAAACATTTCAATTCTACATACTTTTAGTAAGAGAATATTTAATAAACTACTTGATACGGTTTTTGTAAACACTGATCTGACCAAAATCAATGATTGCATTTTGAAAGGCAAACAACACTATTACTTTCAGAAGATCGCATACTTGGTGCCTTTGAAAACAGAACAACAACAAAAAGCTCTTCAGGCATCAGATAGCAAGGTCTGTAACATCTATTACCAAAGAAAACTAGAACATAATATCACCTACCATGCTATCCATAGAATGAGAATAACAGGATGTAGAATGACAGGTGGATTAGAGGTAGTTAATGAAATCATACTTAATCTTTTTCATTTGTTGCTTTTAGGCAAAATTGGGTGAACAAGGAAACCTTTCAGAACTGGTTAATCTCATCCTATCTTTTGCTGATGGAAACAAAGATGGTAGAGTTTCTTTGCCAGAGGCGAAATCTGCATGGGCACTGCTGCAGCTAGATGAGTTTCTGTTAATGGTCATCTTGCAGGATAAAGAACATACTCCCAAGTTGATGGGTTTTTGTGGGGATCTCTATGTGACTGAAAGAGTTGAATATACCTCTCTCTATGGAATCAGCCTTCCATGGATTATAGAACTTTTTGTTCCCTCTGGCTTCAGAAGAAGCATGGATCAATGGTTTACTCCATCATGGCCAAGAAAGGCAAAAATAGCTATAGGGCTTTTAGAGTTTGTGGAAGATATTTTCCATGGACCTTATGGAAACTTTCTTATGTGTGATACAAGTGCCAAAAACTTGGGATATAATGATAAATATGATTTGAAAATGATGGACATGAGAAAAATTGTGCCAGAAATGAATTTGAAAGAAATAATTAAAGATCGTCAGTGTGAATCGGATTTGGACTGTATTTACGGTACAGACTGTAGAACTCTGTGTGACCAAAGCAAAATGAGATGCACCACAGAAGTAATTCAGCCAAACTTGGCAAAAGCCTGTCAGCTACTTAAAGACTATCTGCTTCGTGGTGCCCCTTCTGATATCCATGAAGAACTAGAAAAACAACTGTACTTGTGTATTGCCCTTAAAGTCACAGCAAATCAGATGGAAATGGAGCATTCTTTAATACTCAATAACTTAAAAACTTTACTGTGGAAGAAAATTTCCCATACAAATGATTCTTAGCTTCTCTACCAGCAGAAGACAATACTGATGCCTGCCACTAGAGGTGGCCTACCGCATTTGTTAAAGCCGATCTGCAGCATTTTTTGAAGCTGTTTCTTTACTCAGATTTCATTAATGGCTCTTGCCTTTCAGTCAGTACCTTATGACAGGGCTTCTCAAAGAATGAACATGCCACTGAATGATCGGGCAGAGGCCAAAAGCACTTTTGTGCCAGTGCTGTTAAGGAAACAAAACCCCTGCATGCTTGACTGTTATGTGCACTTTGTCAGGTCTTGGAACAGGAAAAAAGTATTCACTGTGCCACCACATCAATTGATGGAATATCTTACAGTTCTGTGAAAATCATTGCTCACTTGTGAAATATCTGCAAAAGATTTTTATCCTAAGTAGTTTTATGAAGAACCACCACTACCGCAAATAACGTGTCTGAGTCCAAGCTGCTGTTGTGAATAAACTGAACTGTGAGATTGAAGTTTACTAATACCTTGGCATGGCAGAATTTGCACATTAAAAATTTTTAAACTGTGGAAGATTAGAATTTTATTCTAGAACTGACAGGTTCTATTATGAAACTTAAATCAGATTCTGTTTACACCTTGTTACCTCATGCTTACATCTTGAATGTTTAAGTAGTTCAACAATTTAAGTCCTTAAACAATGAACCCTGTTGGGAGCCAAGAATTTTAGAATGTTATTTCTTAAAATCATGTATATAGTCTAGCAGCAATATCAACATCAGTTTCAAAACCTACTTTTTTGTAATTCACTTGAGGTCTTTAACCCAAATTAAGCTGTAGTGAATACTGAGGAGTAAAGTTTGTGGACTAAGGTGTTGTATCAGAACTGAAGCTATTTCTTTTTAAAAATACTGATAGCAGAAATGTCCTAACAGTAAAAAAGGAAGCTTTTAGTGTAGGAATCTACTGAACAACATGTGAAACAAGTAGTAAGTCTAAAGGCTTGACTTTTCACTGTCCAAACTGAGCTAGACTTATACTTAAGTCCTGCAATAGTTAAGAGGATTTATGCAAGCCAGAACTGTAGGGCAGACGCTGGATTGTTTGAGTGTGAAATATTGATTAAATAGGAGCTGGAGATGGTAACAGCTAGGACCACGGTGGAACATGAGCTGTAGTGTGTTACTATTCTTTATTTTCTAGTATTGTCTATGAGTCACTGTTAAGTCTCAAGTGCAGAGTAAATAAACACCATCTGATCATGGCACTTGATGTGGCATGACCACTGTACCACCTGTGATCTGCATCTCTGTTGTGTCTCAGGTTTACATCTGTGTTCACAATTATGTAGAACTGGATGTTCATACAATACCTTAATACTGTGCTCAGTACTGCCCTGATAATGTTTCATTTATAAATGCTTTAGGTGTGAAGTAGTTCAATCCTTATTTATTTGAATAGCTGTCATCCATATACTTCTAAACCCTGGCCCCATAATTTATTTTCACTGTAAGAAGGACAAGCTATTTTTAAATATATGTGAAAGGCTGTTAATTGCTTTAGGTATCCTGTTAAATGCATTCCTTGAATGGATTCCAGGACAACATCAAGTCCCTGTTCCCTATCCTCTGTAAGAGTATGCAGCCTGGGTTAAGGATGTACTGTTTTGTAAACAGCAGCTTTTCAGTTTAAGTATTACTATGCTAATCACTGTCTCTAACTTGATAATGTCCTTCAACCATGAGCTAAGAAGTATTTATAGCCAGCAATGCACTCAAGTGTAAAGTGGTCATGTTCTTAGTGGAAAAAAAATTTGACTGTAATTGCTACTAGGTTTTGGGCAGAGATTATTGAATATAAAATGCTGGGTATTTTAAACAACTGGAAAACATGTTTAATAGTACAGTTTGTATAGAACAGTAATTTTTATCACTGTTGCATCAAGTTGGAGTTTTCAGTGGAAAAAATACACTTTCATTTACAGTAAATCACAGGCCTCCTTCTTTCAATAGCAGTACTTCTCTATTAGTATCTTAGAGCAAAACATTCCTCCATGTAGCCTATGTAACTCCTCTTTAACCTGTGCAAGCAGCTTCAGTAAGTCTAATGGGAAAGAAGTTCCTAGAAAATGGAGATGTAGGAAAAAGGGATCAGAGCACATCCAGGCCTCTGTAACTAAGCCCATATATGCAACTTAAAAGTGAATCCTCTTGTCTAATCAAATAATGTGAAGTACTCAGCTTAAGGTCATACCTGTTTCAGGAGCATCCAGAGCTTAAAGCTGAGTGTCTGAAAGGGCTTACTTCAGTTACTGGAAGAACCTTAAGCACTTCAATTAGGAATGCCTGTCTGAATCAGCTATAGTTATGTCTCAGTAGGGAAAGTGTTATCATTTGTGTTCCTGAAAGCCTAAGGCTGCCTTTAGGCAGACGCTTCCAAACCTACTGTAATTACTCCTGCTTTTTTCTCTGAAGCTACATACAGATTCCTCCATAACATTAAGTATGCTTAAAGTAAAAGGGTGAAGGACATGTAAAAGCCCTTTAAAAAAACTTAAATATTTTTGTTGCTAGAAGCAGGAGTTCTTAGACCTAGTCTTTGGTACTAGTGATGCCAAAAATTAATCCAGTTGTTTATGGGAGTAATTCTAATGCAGCAGCCTCAGCTTTTAGGTCTGTCACCTCTCTTCTCTGTGAATGACTTCAATTCATACTTGGAAAGGGGAAAAAAGTCCTTAAGGCTACAGAATATCTGAATAAAAAATATTCTTTATCCAAGATATATTAATAAGCCAGTCTTACACAGTTGCTTACTCAATAAATTTATTGCCACTTTTTCCAAAGCTTCATAGAAAATTGTGGAAGTTGTCTTAACTATCAGCTGCACGCTCCTGGGCCCTGAGAAAGCTAGCCTTCTTCTGAGCAACACGATCTTTCTTCTGGGCGAGGGACATCTTGGGACAGTTCCATCTGCAATGTAAGCACAGTGTATGATATTTAAGGCAGAAATAAGCAAAAAGGTGGTCAAGAAAGCTGCAGTGCACCAGGACTGTGGTTAGAAGTGCTATGCTAGAACATATTCCCATTTCTGTAACACACTACTTCCTTGTAATGATTCAAGGCTGTAATTAGGGCACTGCAAAAAGGCATGGTTGACTGCAGCAGTTTAATTCCTCAAGAATTACTCTTTAGTGACTAGAGACAGTATCAAGGCCCAATGCAACAGCTATGCCTCAATTTCTTTTCTCCCAGGTTCCTGAAAAATCAAAATAGTTTTATCTTGACAAACTAAGTCAGCCTGCCCTCACCTGAAGAGAAGCTGCTCTCCCCCTTTAAGAGTTCCAGCTATTCAGGCCATGAGCACATTCCACCTTTTTTTTTTGTATGTAGTTGAGAGCTCTTAAAATTTAGATTTCTACTGCTAAAGTTAACTCCTGACAAAGTTACAGTGAAATCCTTGTAGCTTAATCTAAAAGACCATGTGTTTTTACAGAACTGCAATGTGAATTACATTGATGGTTTCAGCATAAGTAAGTTATCTTCAACTGAGAAGTCACATTCATGTTAAAGAGGAAGAGTTTTACCTCTTTTTCTTGACTTCTCTCTTGGGTTTCTTTTCATGGACTGGATTATCCCGTATAGCAGCATGGGCTTTTTTATACATTTCTTCCATCTTGAAGACAAAAAACCCAAAAAGAATGCTTAAGTACTCCAGAGATCCAGTTGAGAATCATACAAAAAGAGACACCCTTACCAAAGCACGCAATAGAAATGGGTTTCATCACAATACATCTTATAATTTTGGGTGGTTACCTTTATGAAGAAAGTGTTATTCAGAAGATCACTATCACAGCATACTGAAATTCCTACTACCACTATAATACAACTTAAATACTGAAACAAACGAGGTTATTTTATCCTTATTTTACAGTTAAGGAACCAAGGCTATGGAGTAACTACAGGCTACTAACAAGTCTCCAATGCATACCAGCATCTTGCAGTTGAAACACTATTTCCTCTGAAGTCTACTTTTCAGTGCCATACATTTAAAAGTTAGTATATAAAAGTTATTCTACTTCTACCCAGAATACTTAATGTTTACTAATTAAACCAAAACCATTCCACACTAACTTTGTCATCAGACCTGCAATCTTACCCCTTTTAATACACCTTACAGAGCTACTTAGAGAAGGGGGAGAAAGTATAAGTTGTGAAAGCAGCTACAGATTAACAAGTCTCACAAAAACCAGGCCAGTTCCTGCCTTGTCCACAAGGATACAATAACACTGCTCTGTCCCAAAGACAACTCTGGTTCAAGAATGGCACCAATTTTAAAGAATACCTTTGGTAGTGGTTAATTCAGACCACGAGATCCCAGCTGCATAAAATTTTCTAGATGTACAAAGGATAAGTGTCCACCTATTGACATAAGTTGTGGACTCAATTGCAATACAAGATACAGATACAGTTTCTTCAGTGAAATAGAGTAAGTTGCCATTTACAATACATGACTAAGTTCTCGGTAAAGACTAAAGTTAAAACAAAGTTTACCAAAAAAACCCACAAAACCCTATAGCAATAAAGGGATAAAGAATGAAGTTAAGTTTTGCACAGCCTAAAAAGCAGTCATGTTTGTTTCAAGCTTCAGGACTACTAATTGGGGAAACCAAGCAAGAATATTAGAGACAGCAAGACATCTAAAAGGAATTCCAACACTTGAAAGAAGGACCTTGGTTATCTTACATATCTTCTAGTGTTTTGCAGAAAATGCTCTTTAAATTTCAAGTAGTACTAAAATGAAATGTATTACACTCTGTAGTTTCACAGGATGCCAGCTTCACCAGAGCTAGCTTGGGCTGTTCTGTATTCACCTGGGACCTAGAACTACCTATAGGGTCACACAAATCATGAAAACATATGTGACATAGAACACACCCTCACAGCTGCAGAAATGACAGGCTGTGGTGGAGGATTAGGAATGAGTGGGTAGCATGTGTGGAAACTGCAAGTTAATTTCCCTATCAGGGAAAACAAAAAAAAGTATTCCAGTTTAGAATGTGGTCCTGTAAGCTGAGATTTATAAGTAAAATGTTCAGCTTCATGGCAGGAAAAAAGATACCACTTTCAAGAGACTTATGATGTATTATACAGCTCCTAATGAAGAAAAAAGTATTTGCATGAATAACATACAACATGAATCACATTATTTTATATACCCAACTTCTTTGCATTACTAAAGAAGTCCCTACACAAGACTTATCAGTATCTCTATTAATGCACAGGAGCCAGCCAGATGAATCTTACCCCATCAGGTGTTACGTTGTTCTTTATGTACTGGGAGAACTGTTTTTTGTAAGCATCTTCATCCTCCTCCATCAGGTAACGCATATAATCTGCAACATTTTGGCCCATGATATGCTTGCGGTGAACCTCTGCGTTGAATTCTTTGCTTTCTGAGTCATAACCAGGGAAGCGTTTGGTACTGTGAAACAGCAGTTACACTCAAATTAAGACATATTGACAAATGCTCTAATTCAGAGGCTAGGTTCCACACCAAAGTGACCAATACATCAGATTCTCTTAGAGGTAACAGAGGGGTAGGACCCTCCAATTAAAAATTAAGAAATATAGAAAATTATGAGATGGAAGTTTTAAGTTCATCTTAGCTGCCATCAGTCCCGTCTTGAAACAGTGCAGTACATCATATACACACCGTGGACCAACTACAGAGTGTTCAGTCTTTGGGAGGATCATCATGTAGCAGCCAAGTCAGAAAAACTGGACAATTAGTCAAGAATGACTAGGACAGCATGGGAGAGGGTAGGAAAATACACAACAGATCTCAGATATAGCAGAAAGAAGCAGTCAGCTATAGTATCAGGGTTAGGTAACACTGCCTAAAATCTTGATTCAGTCATTCACAGCCTGAGACAGAACTGTCAAAACTTCCATGTGGAAATTTCTAGAGCAGGCAGAGTGCTCGGGCCTACTATCATACTGACAACTGTAGCAAATGTCAGTGGTTTTTTTACCTGGCATGTACAGTTTTTCACAGTGAAGTTAACACATACACACAATTTAAGGACTTAAACCAACAGAATACTAAAGGATATTTACTTAAGTGCATTCAGGCACTTGATGACTTAAAAGTAAAAGCAACAAGATGGCTCTTTAGTTTCTAAAAATACAAGAGCATCTCAATAGTTGCAAGATTCGCAGCAGCACTATCAGAATTGCATCTCTGGATTAAAAAGCAGACAACAAAACAACCAAAAAAACCCGCACCCCAGAATCTAGGCTACATCTTCACTACCAGGTTGTAACAGAACTATTTCAACATAAAATGACACTATAAGTAGACTGTCACATACAGAAGCATCTCAGGTTAATTCTAACAGAATTCTTCCAAACAGACTAGATTACCTATGAGGGATGGACAGACCACCATCCACTGCACCCTTCAGAGCACCGAAGACTTTGTTTCCAGTGGTAGTTCTGGCAAGACCCGCATCCAGGTAGCATGTGAAAGCACCAGGCTTTCCATCCACGCTTTCCACATTGTATTCATCACCAGTCACTTCAACTTGGCCTTCATAGATCTTATCAAGGCCAAATTTATTCAGAAGCTGTGAAGAAGGAAGAAAAAAAATTAAAGCACTTAAATTCTTTCAACTTAATGACAAAATGCATAATTACCATCACCTTAACACACAAATTTGCAGTAGCATCTTGATGTTTTCTAACAAATTTCTTTACAAAAATTAAGCACCCCATACTAATAACAAGGGTTTTCACAACCACCACTTTAAGCACATCTGTTAAGTTTCAACCTTTTGTTCCAACAGGTACACCAGTGAACTTCAGCCTTATGCATAAGCTCATATGGAAGGACGCTGTTTATATGTTTTCAAACTCTTAAAGGTACCTTTCTTACATTTTTATCCCAACTCCCTCCCTCCACCATACTTAAGTGCTGAGACTTAAAGTGAGCTGCTGGAGTTGAAGCTGCATGCTGCCATACTTCTCACTGTGATTTGACAGACACAAGAGGCCATCGAATCTCTATGGTAAAGAACCGACATTATTTAGAGAAGCCCACAGAGTCAAGTATCTACACTAACATGCCACTTAAAGTGGGCTTTCTATTTTGTAAGCAAATTGGAAACCCAGAGCAACAACTTCCAGACAACCTGACGGATACCTACCCTGCGTGCCAACAGCAGACCTGTACAGTATGCTGCTGCGTAATTGGTCAGGCCAACCTTCACACCGTATTTTGGCAGCTCATGGGCATAAGCAGCACAGACAATCATGTCGCCTTCGATTCTGGCATAGGCAATCTGACAACAAAACAAATGTTAGCTTTCTCACAATTCTGGGCTCAATTTATTATGTCTTTGACATCTACTTAAACTGATAGGAGTTCTGTATAGAAATGTCCAGCAAACTGACAACCTCTGCACACAAGCTCAAGGGTTTGTGGGGGTTTTTTGTTTGGGTTTTTTAAAAGACATAAATAACTTCTCAAGCACTGACACAAAGAATTCAAATCTGTATTAGGCCACAGAAAGTGTATCAGCAACTTTTGTTTACCTCTCCATATACATCAAGAAGCCAGGGAACTGCCTACAAAATCAACCTTTCAAGGAATCATTATGGATGTGGATGGATTCTGTCCCACTTTCTGAATGTGGTTCTCATGTAACACAGTATATAATGCACCTCCAAAAAATGCAGAAAGCATCCAATACAGAGTTTGTGGTAACCTTATGCAATGATTTAATTCATGGGTCTGAGATTTTCATCGTCTCAGGGGTCTCCTGTGAGACAGCAGTACTATCAGATTTGTTTCTACTGTTCCTTTCACATACAGAACCTTCTCCTTTTGACTCCCACACCTCCTTCCTACACCCAAAAGTTGTCCCCTTTTTGCAGGATTCCCACCCACTGGAAAGGCACTATCAGATGTGAGCACCTGCCACCGCTCATTTTTGGTTTGAGTTTCAAAAATAAAGTAACCTCGTCAAGATCATATAATTTTTTCTGAACTGACTGTAAAAAGAGCACTGTCCACTGTTTTTAACAGGTAATTATTGCAAGAAGAAATGACAAATTTTTCCTAGCTTCTTTTTTGAGCTTACTAACATGCATTTGTGATAGAACAAACACACCTAAGTGTTAAACTTCAAAATTAATCAAAACATGCTGAAAATGAAACAGGAAAGTGAACCACAGCGAGGAACTGCATATGATGCAACATACAAGTGCATACTTAGTAAGGATGAAAAAACACCTACTGTTCTTATTTACTGGTCTCCTTTAATCTCACAGGAAAGCCATCGTAAGGCCTAGCTGCTTCACATCATCCACATAACATCACAGGAAAAGCACTCTCAAAAGAGAGGGCACCTTTCAATACAGTGTCAGGTTGGGTTGACAGGATACACAGTCAACTTTGTTGTCTTCACCCAAGGAAAAAAGGCCCTTTTCAATGCACTTTAAATACAGCAGAAAAAAAAATAGAGATACCTACCCTCTCTCTGAAGTCTTCTATTCAGCATCATTCAACCAGTACAGTCTTAGGTTACAAAAAACCTTGCTGAAGAATGTTGACACTACTAAAACTTATTTTTTAATTATGAATACAGTTTATTACTGAAGCTGTGTCAACATTAAAGGTTGTTCTCTAAGGAACTATTTTCCAATATAAAAACTGCTCAGATCAAACCTAAAAGATTCCAGCTGCTTCAACCATCCCCCTTTCTCTATTTCAGGTGGGAAAGCTGGGGAGTAAGCAGCAAGCACCACAGGTCTTACCTGGCAAATAATGTCTCTGTTGGTAACACGCACAATCATCCTATACTTTGGGGTGTTGTACTTGTTTTTATCTTGAATTACCAAACGTTTGCGGGCATAGTAATCAGTTTTTCCCTCTGAAAAAGAGGTTATAGTGTGGCAAACACATGTGAAAAAAGTAGGAATATTCATCAGTGACTTTCAATTGCATGCTACAGGAAATTTAACAATACCTCTCCTTCTCCTGAATTTCACTTGGTATCTCTTGAAGTAGGCCTTATTCTTGACAACTTTCACAAACCCCTTGAATAAGAAATATAACTAGACGTTATTAACATACAACCACGTAAGCCAAGACCATTCTAATTAAACGTGCTATGAATAAAGCCGTGACAAAATCAGGAATAAAGTAACAAGCATACCTACACATATAGATAAAAAAGCATCATAAAAATAAAATGTTAAGAAAACGCCAACACATCAAGCCCCAGAATTTCCATCTTTCCCACCGGAACCAATGCACACTTCGCCCCAAAACTTCATATAGTTTCAGGAGAAAGCCAGAAATTCCGTTTGTTAACGCAGCGCCTGCCCGCACGGACCGAGACAGTAACCGCAGTCATTTTCAGCCACCCCCCACCCAGTTATCTCTTTGGCGAGCTCCGCCACGAAGCCGGCCTCTCCCGCAGCCCCCCGCCACCCGGCGGGGACAACGACCCTTGCTGACACCGAGACGGGACCGGCGCTCCCCAACACCTGCCACCGTTTCGGAGGCGCGTCCCGGCGGCACGAAGGCGGGCGGCCAGTCAGACACCCGCGGCCCCGGGCCACCAGCCCCCGCAGGGCACGAGGGGCTCCGGGTGCCCGGCCCCGCCGCTCACCCCC